TCTATCTATCTATCTATCTATCTATCTATCTATCATCATCTATCTATCTATCTATCTATCTATCTATCTGCTTGTTTGTTTGTAAGACTACATGTGCCTGTCCTTATTAGTTATGAAGTGTCACCAGTTTTTCCTTTCCCTAGGATTATGACTGTTAGGGACTGTATGGTACAGAACTGACTTGTACTTCCCAGTGGGTGTGTGATAATGTGATTGGGAGAGCAACTGAGAAGCTGTAAAGACAGACAAACAACCTTAGGAACAACAAGCTTTCATCACTGTGTGACTTTTGCCTTGTGTCTTACTGTGCATTTCAGTTTTTTTTCCTTATATGTTCTCTTGCTTCTCGATTTGGTTTGACTGCAGTGGGTGGGTTTATCTCTGCAGTTAACAAAACCGTGGTAACCCATCCCCTAAATGCAGGAAACCTGGTGTGGACTGAAAAGTTAGTGTCCCAAGGTGGGCGATAACTTAACCTTCATTTACCTTCTTACCTTCAATTGCTCAAACAAATGATCAAATTTCTTAAAAATATATGCACAACTGAGGGCAGTTTAATTTTCATTTAAGTGTCGGTAAACATCTATTAAGTATCTAAGCTTGATCACAAAGAAATGGATATGTACACAGTTTATGGGATAACGAATCGGCCAATTCATTAAGAAAAGGGAAAAAGACATTCATCAAGCGTGATAGTTGGTCTCCCACATGGAGACCACATCCCACACTAAAACTTCAGTCACCACGCTGCTGTTCCACCACTCTTCCCAGTCCAAGTCGGGTTCTGGGTTCGGGCAGCACTGCGTTTGCAGGAGTGGGAGCTGGCGCCACCTGATGGTCGAGAAGTTGTGCACTTGGTGGGCAATTATACAACTACGGCGAAGCTGCAATGCAGGGGATCATGTTTAGGGACAATTCATAGATATCTTTACATATTTTAAAAAGATAAGTTACATATCAGTCAAATATAATTTGAAGATATAAACCATTATTTCAATATTTTAGTAGGTGTAAAACTGAATTATTTCAAAATATCTTCTAATTTAATTTGATGTTTTGCAATTATTAAGGAATAGGGAAAATATCTATATTTCATTATAGGCAACAGTTATTTAGTGATATGCATAATGAAATCATATATTTTAAATCGTTTTAAGTTATCTTCAATCATTTTAATATATTTTTAAATTATTTAAATATGTCTTTAAGTGTTTATTTGGCTCATGGCAATGCTGTATGTTTATAGACACGTGTAAATCATTTAAGAATATAGTTAAATAATCGAAATATATTTTTAAATATGCAATAAGATCTTGAAATGGCTTGGATATACCTTCCAGAGATGAGAGAATTTTCTTCACCCATCGTGTCTCAAATACAAGTTCTCCCCAAACGAGCTTGATGGGCCGAATGGCCTCCTCTCGTTTGTAAATTTCTTATGTTCTTATGTTCTTACATCAAAATATTGCTAGGTGACATTTACATTTTTCATATCATCACGGCAGCGTTAGAGAAACATTGTGAGAACGTTATGCTGTAGTAGCCATGTTTTGGAGAAAGGATTCAGTAAACATTCTGCTGTATATTTCTGTCTTTGCTAGGAAAAAATGCATGGAAAGATGTATCTGTATGTATCCTTCATGTGCTTGTGTTGTCTCTGTCCTGATAGCCCTTATTTCTCTCTGCAGATGTCAATGAGTGCAGCATCAACCATGGTGGCTGCAAGTTTGGCTGCGTCAACACACCTGGAAGCTATTACTGCACCTGTCCCCCTGGCCACAGTCTGCACTGGAACAAAAAGGATTGTGTCGGTAAATAGGCAACACTGCCCTCCAGTGGCCAACTTTAAGCATGATGGGTAGAGGAGGATCATAGTAGTAGTAGTAGTAGTAGTAGTAATAGTAGAGCTTTATTGTTATCTCAACCATATACATTAAAGCACACATTTTCCAGGGAACAAAGGCGTAACGTACAACACAGCAGGACAACAGCAGACTCAGACAGATCGACAGTGAGGATAATTGGGGGGTGGGGGGGGGATAAATAATAC